ACTGTTGTGTGATAAATTTCGGCGGCATTTGTGAACTGATTATTTTTTGTGGGAAAGAGGGTAGTAGTCCCATTTAAATTTGAAGAAGATATTCTGCCTTTATGGGTGGCAAACTAGGGGATGCATCCGGTTTCGCGCTCTTTCCGGCAACCAATTTCAATAGTAACTAATAGATGTAATTCCACGAACTCTTGAGGTCCGCTTTTTTTAGGATGTTGACTTTTGGATTATCTAATGTGATAGTAGCAGTGACACTAAATTTCTTAGGTTAGAAATAAATTTTACATAGGAACACGATTTTTTCGCCTGCACATATTAATGCCTGTTACGATACAAAAAAAAAAGCCGGCTCTATAGCGACCGTTTCATTTTTAATGAGGTCGCGTGTTCGGGCTCGAGCGGATTGCGGGGCACGCTTTGTACGCGACAGGCCGGCACGCAAAGGCAGTGGTTAGCGTGCGTGAAAGACTAATGTTTGCTACTAGATTATTCATTGCTTAGCTTGTATAGCTCATCATAGAAGCAGCGCCTGTCGCGGGTAAGGTACAGGCCACCTTTTCGTCTCAACAAACAGCCCATGGTAATCCCGTAACTGGATGTAGACATCTCTTTACAAAGAATAATTTCGAATTTCTAAAGCTCATGGACTTAATTTAAAGATATCAAATGACGGGATGAACAAGTCGCGGGCCCGGTGTTAAGCGACACAGGCGTGTCGCTGGTTCATAGCAGTTGCAGTGCCACTCAGAGATCTGACGAGCACTGCCACTTTACCTGTCACCCTGAGACATAAGTTGACAAGTCCTTTGTGCCCGTAATTTCACCAGTACCCTTAATCCTCAAAACCGAAATGCAGTAATGCTTACATTACTGCTTGGTGGTTGAAATAGGTAATGTGGCAGTTCTTCCCTGGACGATCCGTCCGCCTGTAGGTTAGGGCCATTTTTCTCAGAGAGTAATAGTGTTGCTGAGTCGTAAAATAATATAACAAAGAAATATTTTTTAATGTTTTCAAAATAGGTAATAAAACGAATTATCTGATATTGTAGCAACAGCTAAAAGTAAAATAGACGAAATAAAAGTTTTTTTATATATATTTTAAAACAATTTCTTTTAAAATATGCTGCACAGATTTGAATTATTGATAAAAATGACGCTCATCTCCAAAGACTATGGGCGATAAAATCTGTAAATAAAAATAAATAGATACATTTATTTTTTTCTCAAATATAATATTACAGTATAAATTGTACTACATGTCAAAGTATAAGAAATTATATTGAGGTACCTAGTCAAACAACAATGAAAATTATAAGAAAAATACACAATAATTAGAAAGTTAACAATTCATTAATAAAAATATTGTTGTCATCAAATTTCATATCAAATATCATTCTCCATCAGGAATCGTCATAAGTTTGTGACGGTGTGACCTCCTTACACCGTCATCCTACCTTTTTGTATCGCCTCTCTCTTTTCGTATCGTATCGTTTTTCTTTTTCTACTCATATTTAAATTTAAAATTTTGAATTGTTCCATTTCCCTTCGCATTCTGATTTTATTTCTTTCGATGTCACTCCCTGCTTGACCGCGATAGCGGATACTACTAAATCAAATTGTCTATTTTTTTAATTCTTTACAAGTTTAATCATAATAAAATCAATATAAATCATGTATCGACCATAATAAGCGAATAACAGTCTATCTGAAATTTAACATTATACAACCCGATAACGGTTTTTTCTTTACTTCATCTTTTACTTTAACGTTAAATAAATTTGTGAACCGGAAGTTTCCTGTTTTACTGCCGTGATCCTGATCACGGTTGTTAGGGTTACAACCCTTTCAAGTTGATAACAAATATACGAAAGTAATAAATGCGATAAAAATTAAAACAAAGTAGAAAATACTTAGCAATAAAAATACGTAGTCCTTAAATTCATTTTCAGAGTATAATAATTCAGACTGATAGATACTAAGAGGATGAAAATAAGGATAGAGATAGTGTTTTACATTCGTTCATTATATTTTTTTCTGCAAAATAACAGGAAAATAAAAGTTACAAAACTGTCGCTTTAAAAAAAGAGACTATCCAAAGTTGAAAGTCAAGTTTATGAAAGAGTTTACTTAGCACATTCAGTAAAATTTTTTTTAAACTATTTGCTGTTAGAGAGCATCCACTCAATAACTCTTTCTAAACGAAAGTCATACGTTTTTAGAATTCGCACTGTATTGTAGAGTTCAAATTCAATAATTATACATAGTTTTTGGGAAAAATGAATTAACTACAGTAATAATATTATTTAACCACATCAATATTTTATATTTGAAGGTGTTGTCTCAGCTACAGAAAATATATGCAATAACGGAATAATGAACTGCTTAAAAGCTGTGAGTTGTTTAATATTCTATAACGTATGTTATTGTGAAAGTTTTAGAGTTTTTAAGTTTTAGTTCTAGACCAGAACCAAATTAAAAGTTCATTTTCAAATTGGTCGTACCGAAAATCGAAGCTAGGACCTCCCCATCCAGCGCCGACAATGCAAACCTTTAGGCCACCCGGTAATCGAATAATTATCGAATAGTTTACCATAAGATAATTATCCGAAATTGCGGAATAATAGTCACATAGTAGACAAGTGTAGTGTAGTGGAGTGTAGTCAATAGCAAGCTGTTACACCTGTAAGGTAGAGATGATTTGTTCTGCAGTATGCACTCTGGCGAAGCCGCGTAGAAGCGATGAAGATCGGTTGATAAGCCACAGTCGTGTCTCTGCAAGTTCAGCTGTCATCGTCCACATTTCTTCACAATAACCATCTCCAGTTTTGGTTGTACTAGCTCTACGGAAGATAAAGTGGATTACTCCGCGGATCATCAAACAATTGCCATTAATTTCTGTAAGTAAGTATTTTCCTTGTCCTAAAATGCAAAGTGCAGCGTCAGGATATAATCAATGTGTTATGGATACAGTTTTCATAACAAATAATGATACAATCACACTCCATATAATGTCTATGCCGACTTATTAAGACAGGGCAAGTTGACAGGAGTCTCGATTGTCAGGTTAAAATTTCCATTAGACAAACCAAAACGCACTGAGTTAATGTTTCGAGTCGTTTTCTCTACATGAGTGCCACATCTTTATCTAAAAATTACAATAATTTCAGCTGTAGCCATTTTTGATCTTAAAACGAAAACAAAATGTTAATTAATTTATCGTTTTGTAACCAAATGTAAATTAATAACGATAACATTTTAAAATTTAAAATATTATTTGAATCCATAATATTTAAACATTGTACGTAATGTTCTAAATTTAATTTTTTTTCAATTTAATTGTTCGATAGTCTTGTTATTCAGTAAATAGAAGTAGTCAATTGTAATCAATCATAATAACAATTAAGTAAATCAATAAGAATAACGTTACGAAGCTATATTAATGCAGAGCTGAAAGTACCAGGACCTCGGTTGCCAATAATAAATATTGAATCACGCCGCTTAGAGTTGAAATTCTAGTTTTGTGAGGTTGCAGCGCGTTTCTATTTCAGTAAGCCAACGGATGGTCGCTAGTTGTTTTGACAATGTGGTGCATGTAAAAACTAAAAACTCTGCCAGTATTTTGGACACCTTGCTGCGCGGACCTGACTCCATTAATTGAATGTAGCTTTAGACCCCAGTATTTAAAGTTTCATGGTAGGTACCTTTGTAAACAAAATATTTCATATATAGAGTAGCACAGTGAATTCTTACTAGAATAAGCAATTCTGTACAGCGCCACCTGTTGATGAGTAGCTAGTTCTAAAACATACGTGTAGATGTCTCGTGAGTACACATATGAAACATATTATGAGGGAACGACGACGTGAGGAATAAAAGTACACCCAACAGAACTGCAGTTTGAAATTTATTGGTGTGTTTTATTTGACCGCATATTAGACAATATACAGACGTATTGCGTATTGGTGTTATGTTTTGATTAGACCCGCCAGTAAATGAAATACTCACTTTGGACCTTTATAATCTTTTTTGTTTGATAGGTACCAATGACAGGAAGCACAAGTCATGTGGCAGGTAATAAGCTACATGCCTGTCCATAACAGTTGCAGTGCCACTCAGAGCTTTAAATCATAAAATATCTGAGGGACACCACTAGTACGCCCGTCACCCTGAGTCTTATGTGAGTTGATAAGTCTCACGTGTCTGTAATTTCACTGGCAGCCTTACCATTCGAAACCGAAACACAGTAATGTTCGCATTACTGCTTGGCGGTAGAAATATAGAAATAGTGAGGTGGCAGTACTTCTCTTGGCGAACACTGTCACAATGAGCTTTTGAGTGGTTACACGGCGACTTTTGGAAGCGATGCAAACACGCGTTTTTGAAACGCGCGATTGAATCGCTACACTTGCGATCTATAGGCGACAAACGCGTGACTCCATCGATACAGTCGCTTATGTTGAATCATTATGTACCAAAAATTTGTGTACGTTTATGCACATTGTTTTGTTTTATTAATTGTAAATTTAAAAGTGAAATTAATAAATACATGAATTAATTAATAAATTTGTCAATTAATTTAAAATGTGCATCGTGTTTGTATCGCGTTTGCATCGTGGTTGCATCGCGTTTGCATCGCGTTTGCATCGCTGCTTAAAGTCGCATGTGTGTGTAAAGGTAAACGATTAGCGAATGCATCGCGACTGTATCGCTACTGCACCGCCTTTGCATCGCTTATGCTTATAGTCACCGTGTGAAACCGCCCTTACTGCTAAGGAATTTATGACAAATTAAAATGAATAATAAACATAGAATTATTTTGTAGCGTAAAGAACGCTGTGTTCTCAAAAAGTTCGAATCACGTCGCGTCTACTGATGTCAAATCTGACAAATGCTAGAAATAAGAAAGAAGAAATTCAAAAAACGAAAAACTGTTGAGACGTGCTGTCAGTACCAAAATTCTTTATAGGCTCAAAATATCAATATAGTGTAACAATTTAGTGTTAAAATGACAAATTCAAGGTGTGGGTGTGAATAAGTTCTGCAACTCTTTACAGAGATGGTCCGGTGGAGGTTGGCTCTTGTGCTGGCAATGCTACTGATACTGCCGCCCAAGATCGGCTCCAAATCGGAAGATGACGATGAAGAAGAGTAAGTACGTTATTCGGAGATCCCAATACTCCAGAAAATTTCTTAAATATATCTGTCTCATGTTAAGGGTTTTGTCCAAAATACTTGTTGCCGTTATCACTTGTCATAAGTTGACACTGCTGGTCACCAAATCAATTGTTTGAGAAGTCTGAATACTCGATACTCAAGTCTAACCTCTCGGTGTTATTATTTTCTATTTCTATACTTAGTGTGTTTTCTAGACGATTTTTTGCAAGGTAATTAGTACTTACAAACTTTACCCTCCACTTAGTTGCATGAACGTCTAGTCCCCACTCACTTGAGCAAAATTTCATCACACTCTCGAAAATAATAAATCTTAAAGCTTTGAATTGATGCAGGCGTAGCAGCGAAGACAATGAAGAAGACGATGACGATGATGACGAGGAAGAAGATGAAACTGACTCTGAAAAATCTGGAACGGCAGGTGGAGGAGCAGGAGGTAGCGGAGGTGCTGGAGGAGTAGGGCCGTCACCACCTGAAAGAAGCGATAGGGGGGTTGGTGATAACCAAGTTACAGGAGGTCCTGCTATCGCTCGCCGCCCTCCTCAATCACCGACTGCCAAAAACCCCGGAGCGGGTGCCACGCGAACGGCCAAGAAACGACCATTAGAATGCTATGTCTGTGCATATAAGTCAGAAACTCCACTCAGAGCTTGTTTGGATCCCACTAAATTCAGGTGTAATATATTTTTAGATATATTACACACAAAAATGTATACATATATTGTATACACAAATGAAGAGAGGCATTTGAAAATTTGTGGAAACACAAATCGATGACTATCTAGAATAGCGGCTTATCTCAAAACCGGGAAGCCGATTTAAAAGCAACTGCAGAATATCTAAAATGCAAAGTTGACGAATCGTATACTTTAAATAATAAGAAGCTCGATGTCTTTATCACAATAAACTCTCGCATATTCTGAGATCTATTGTGGAATAAGCCAAATTATGAACCATTTTAGTTTAAGCCACTATTCTTGGAAATGCGCGATATGTACATATATTATTACTACTGACACAATAATGTCAGTAGTAATAATATACATATCACGTATTGTATAATAATACAACAGTAGTTTGGTTGGTTGTTTTCTCCTTTATTGATGCATAAATCCGTGAGTGATACAAGTCATGTTGTCAACAGAGTACACACGATAACATGTCACAGCGTGGAGGACAGGTGCTTTACGTCGGTGATATCGAAGGGTGAAACTTATGAAGCAGTGGTACGCGGTTGTCGGTCTGGTTGCGTCGGATCACCAGAGACAACATGCTGTGAGGTAACTGGAATTGGTTGATAATTCGCAACTTTGGTGTAGGTAATAAGGCCAGATCTGCAAAATAGCTATCTTTCAGAGAGAGAAACATCTCCTCTCTGAAAAGGAGAGGTTTATAGATTCTACGAACGAAATTAGTCAATGACTTTTTATACTTAAATAAGGGACGTATAGTATTTCACATATTACATAATTTGTTTCATGGACACACATCAAAAGTATCTAGGAATGAAGCGCGTTTTTGCCAAATACTGAAAATCAGGTTTTTTAAATTTTTTTTAACACTAATGGTTTTTGGTTAATTTCATAATTTAAAAAATGTAATAACTTATATAATAGGTATTTTTATTAACCGATTTCAAAAAAATGGAAGAAGTTCTCAATTCGTCGTTTTTTTTGTATCTATGTTACGCGATAACTCCGGCACCGATTTTGATGATTCTTTTTTGTTGGAAAGAGGATACCTGGGTATTGGTCCCATTTAAATTTGTAGGAAATATTCCACCTCTAAGGGTGGCAAACTAGCGGGTGAACCTTTTTTCAACCGATTTATATAGGCAAATAGAGGTCGATTTTTTTAAAATAAATAGTTACAATTATTTAATTTTAATAATAATAATAATTTATTTAAGATCATTTATTCACTTTGTTAGTAACAATTAAAAACTTAGGACTATGTTAGTAAATTATACTTAATAAAATAAATAATAGAAATTAACAATAGGTATGCAGAATTAGAATTCATGTCACCAGCCCTTCTTGGTGACATGAATTCTGGTCCAATGGCACAATATCGAACACGCTACATCCTCCGATATGGTGTTCAGAAGGCTGTTACCGCTGCCACGCATCCTGCTCATGGTCAACGAAATGCGTTTCCGTACAACTGCGTCAAAACCGTCGGTACCTCCGCAAACATGCCAGACACACTACAGAACGGAGGCAGCCGCAACAGTATTCTAAAGGTGTTACTATACTTCCGACCTTCGAGCTTCAGGGCATTGAAGGATTTCTGCGTATAATTAACTCACAGGCCGCAGGTATACAGTGTCGGGCAATAGGCCTTAAAAAGAGTTACTTTGCCCTCACTCGTACACCGTGCAAAATCTGCGAGCCAACATATTGCACCTTACCGTCATTGCCCTGCGCTCCCTATCCAGCTCTAAGTTATATGTGAGCGCATCAGTCACTCAGTGACCCAGGTATTTAAACGGCTTCACTTGCTTGAGAGGAGCACCATCTAGTGTAACAGGTGGAACAGTGTTATACGTTTTCGTGCCCGCCTTGAAAACTAGCAGCTCACTTTTCTTGGCATTATACCTGAGTCCATGGGCCACCGCATCATGCTCACAAATTTTCAACAACCTCCTCAAGGCACCGACTGAGGGGCTTAACAGCACCATATCATCAGCATAACTAATATTGTTGATGATACGGCCACCAATCGAGCACCCCACCCTAGCACCGCTGAGCTCCTCAATTAGTCCGTTTATGTACAGATTGAACAACTTGGGAGACGTCAATCCCCCTTGCCTCACCCCGCTGTGCAACCTGTACACATTCGAAAAACTGTTTCCCCATCTCACGACATTCGACTGGTTTCCGTACCAGGGGGTCTACTCTCGATCTCCATCCGACATCCGTCCGAAACAATTACTGTCAAATACATATTCGACAAAATTAAAAGACAAGTATCAAGAATGAAGCTTCCTTCGCATCACGCGCCTTTTCATTTGGTCAAGTATTGCTTATTTGGCAGTAATTGTTTCGGACGGATGTCGGACGGAGATCGAGAGTAGACCCCCAGTACTGTAACAGCAACAGGTGTTCTGTTGATAGAGTCTCTGAAGCAATTTTCCTCCAGAGTACGTCATAGGAAACCAGGTCGAATGCCCTGGAGAGGTCCAGAAAACAAGCAAATACAGGTGTGTGTCGGTCTGTATAGTAGCGAATGGTATGGTTGAGGCAGTATATTGCAGACTCTGTGGAGAGTCCGGGTTTGAAATCGACCCGAGCGTCATGAAGTTAAAGTTAAACTTAAAGTTACATATTATTACATAACCGCTTATCAATCACCGCATTCAATACTTTAGCCGTTATTGTAGCTAATGTAATGGGTCTATAGTTTTCTTTGTCCGACACATCTCCAGTCTTGTTCTTGGTAATCGGAACTACTATAGTTTTCATAAAATTTTCAGGCATGTACGAATGTCCAGTACACAAATTAAAAAGTAGGGCTAACACTCTCGGGAGATGTACACCTCAGTTCTGAAAATGCTCCACACCGAGACGGTCATGTCCAGGTGACTTGCCGCGAGTCATATGCCTAATAATTTCCGCGTTCTCCTTTACTGTAACGTACTCAAATGAGTCCCCTGAATTGATCCCCGCGGGGGCACTCCCAGGAATTGGCCAAGAGGAGATTGCACCTGGAAATGTTTCATGAACAAATCTGCTATTTGACCAGACTCACTGACACCATTGACGCTCACAGAGATACCCGGTTTAAGGTTTAGTTTGTTTGTGGACTTCCAGAAACGGTCAAAATTCTTTTTAGAGTGTTGAGAAGCTATAATGTCCATTCTAATTTAATCTTGATTATTTTGACACCATTTTAATTTCATTAATTTTTAATTTTAATAGTGTATTCAAATATTTAAAACGAATGCCTTGATTCCTAGAGACACTTTTGATGAAAGTAGTTCGTATTATTTTTGACTTTCATGTGATAAAGGCACGTTTGCCACATGATCACATGTGGCTTTCTTATAACGAGTACAGCGCTAAATGCAATATCAATTGTAACATCAATTTTAACCACAGGCGCAATGTCTTGAAAAGTTAATTAATAAAAAAATGGTTAATTAATCTTTCAAGTGTCGTAAATTGCAAAATCGTAAACTTTTTATTCGTAATAACTTTGATACTTGTAGATAGAAAGTGATTATCTCTATGATAATTGCAGTTAAACCGCTGCAACAATCAAGCTTTCGCCATGCCGCTCATCCAGCAGCGAGCGATGACTGAAGTTAGCAAAACTAGCAAATTACATCCTACAAATGTGTTATTTTTCGTCACTATCCTCTTGGTACTCCAAACTGTCGTTAAAGTCGCCATCGTATAGGCTATTGAGAACCCTCTCTACGATGTTCACAAAATAAATCATTTTCTCGATACAAAAGTTTTTAAAACAACAGAAGTTTCGATAACAGAAGTTTTGATAGACTACCTCTTAATAACAAATTAGAAACATCGTGACTTGTCGAAATTTAAGACACTTAATAAATTTCGAAAAATTATGACACATACTGCAATTGCTTGACACGATAGTGGTCTATTGTTACACTTCACTACTACTCCAAATAAAGTCTGTTTCTGAGATAAATAGCATCTTAGATAATTTGTAACATCGGAGTCAGTAAATTTCGAAAAATTGTGACACATACTGCAATTTCTTGACACGATAGTGGTCGATTGTTACACATCACTACTACTCCAAATAAAGTCTGTTTTGGAGATAAATAGCATCTTAGATAATTTGTAACATCGGAGTCAGGGTTCAGCCGTGAAGGTCAGATCAACAGTGAAGTGAAAGTGAAAATCTTAACAGTTACGTTTTATTTTAGTGTTGTTTTTGTTTGTTTTGGTACCATTATTTCTATTTGAAAATAAATTATTTATATTGTGTGTTCACAAGATCACTATTTATTGGTATTTTCTCGTTATTCCATCTCTCATGGAATCTGTAGAATCTAACGATTTCACAGGCGATTTTGGAAGCATATATATATGATAATAATTAAACTTAAGGGTATCATTCTTCAACTTACGAAAGCAAAATATTTTGTGTCATAAATATTATTTGGCACGTCTTATACAAATATTTATAAACTGTAATGGGTTGTTTGTTACACTTGTTACGTGTAGTGATGACGCCCTTAGGTTTAATTGTTAAGAAAAATTGTTATATAAAGCGATCATCTTGTGAAAAATGTCCATTTCATGAGAACTCCGCAAGATTTTCAAAAAGGATGCCTAAAGGGCAATATAAAAAGCCTTATGAATACGATCGTAGGGTGGTAAAGGAAGGGTCACTCGACCTCTTGGTGAAGTCTTTCCGCCCAATTGAACCACTTCCTGTAGGGGTGAACTTGAGAATAATATGAATTATTTACATGTGGATATTTTTGGCAATGTTTGCTTTGGTGGATGAAATACAAGTTTTAAATCTCTTAACTTTAAGATTCGTAAGCAGCTAAAAGATTTCAAAGAGCTGATAAGATATGAGAATAAGAAGAGGGTTCAGGTCATAATTTACTTAATAAAACATACAATTTTTTAACAACATCAAAAATGGAATCGTGTGTATGTTACGCGATATACACTTGCGAATTTGTGAATCGATTTCAATGATTCTTTTTTTGTTGGAAAGGGATACATAATACAAATAAATATTCATGTTGTATGTAACATCATGAATATTTATAACGCTCTAAACGAATTGTAATTAATGTGTAATAGACACAGATTACATAACTCACATGTGAATACATAAATGTGTTATGTATTCAATTTAAATGGTACTTATTAAAATTTCTGCATAAGCAAGCTACAAAGTAATTTAAGGTTCGTAGTCTCTGCCTACACCATTGTGTGACAGGAGTGACGATGTATCTGTAAATTCCTGAAATGTAATTTATTGCAAACATATTTGTTTTTTGCTTTATTGGTGTATTTGATTTCTCCCCTAGCTGAAAAGCACGTGTTAAACTAACCCAAAGGAAATTCCAATAAACCAAACAATTTATACCCCTCGACCCTCAATTTGGGGTGTCCAGTACGTTAAGAAGCCGACTCACTTGTCTCTAACATATGGGGTAAATCGTTTGAAAGGGAGTGGATTTTCTTTCTAACAAAGTATACTTACCATTATCGCTGTTTTTTTCCCCTTTGTGTACTAGTGTGCCGGAGTTTTTAACCAGCAAACGGAAATTTGCCGTTTGGAATTTTTGAAGGCTATAGAAATGCTCAATATCCGGCGTCCGGTTGGCTGTACGTGATTTTATTGGACGGTGTTAGGAAATCGTGTGAACTATATGACCGAACAATGTTATGATTTTGGATTGAGATGATTGTTAATGTTTTATTTAGGAGGTAAGAGTTTGTTGCGATTTTGGATGCATATTATATATACGTTGAAGATTTTATCATGTTTTTCAATAATTGTGGAGGTATCCCTTTTTAAAGCACTTCACATAAAGGTATGAAGTTCTGGACTGGGAGCTCCTAGAGAAGCCTTATTGCGTTCCAGTTTTTGAAGGATAAGGGTGCTGGTGAAGTTACAGGCACAGTGGGCTTGCCAAACTATGTCTCAAAGTGACGGGCGTAGTGGCAATATCCCTCAGATCTTTTCGATTCAAAGCTCTGAGAGGCACTGCTCCTGCTCGACTTGTTCGTCCCGTCATGTCACTTAGTACAACGGTTTCATGTATACTCATAGAAAATAAAAAAAAACTGCAGCAGATCCCACGGTGTTATTCACTTTAGGGTCATGTGTCTTCCAAGTGGAGTTGAGGTCAAACTTTTTCTACTTTACTGTAGTAATCTTCGGATTTTCGAAGGCACTCGAATACAAAAAATTCCGCGTTGGGTAATTTATTGTAAGATTCATCTACAATCATTTCAACTCGGAACTACGACGTGGAACTCTATATACAACTTTACAGCTAAATGCATTTATCTTTTTTTGTATGTTATTAAGGAGTATTCCTCAATAACATACAAAACAAGCCAACAAACGACTAAAAATTAATTTTTATTGTTTTTTTCCGGTTATTAATATTTTCAATTTGATCAGAATTTGAAGCTGTTAGTATGTCACCAGCGAGGGAATAATCACTATCTTTACTGTTTGAACACATATTTACTTTTACTTGTTTTAGTTTTGGCTTCCATTTTAATTTACATATTTGTTATAAAATTATCCATGTACGAATCAAACATTTTATTGTAGGGCAACATACTTTTCTCCATTCTTCCTGTCCAATAATAACACTTTTTCCAATGTAATTTTTTTATTGTTTTGGTATGTTGCATTATCTATCACTAAAATATTATTGGGGTATAGGTTGACCACGAAGCCAAGTTTTATATAGATCTGCATTTCTTTTTAACTGTAGACACCGTGACTATTCACACATTTAGGCAACATTAGAGCACCTGGAAAAAAACCTTTTTCATTTTTAGGACTTAAGACGATTATACGATTGTGGTGAGCACCTTTAGAAATTGTTTTCTTTATACATTTCATCCGACCTACATTTCCGTTTTATGTGCGATGCGTGTACATAATATGATTCATCCATGAAGACAGTATTTTCGCCATCGGCCCTCATCTTTTAAATTTCTCGGAGATACTTTTATCTTTTTAGCTAAATATCAAGCTTTTCCATTAGGATTTCCCTATTGCCTTTCTGTTTCCTTGTATCGAAAACCCATATCTTTCAAACTTTTTTTAATGTTTCCAGACAGGCTTTAAATTGGATAGCCACAACCAACATCGTCTGTGAAGGCCTCAAACAAGGTAGTTACTTAAAACGGAAATGAAAATCATAAATCATGTTAAGTAATGACATAATATCGAAATTGTGTAAATTTAAACGATTGTTGTACTCTTTTAGGTGACAGGAAAGGGAATAATTTATCCGTTTTATCAGTTTTCCGTTGATTATTTTCAATGGAGAAACACCAGAATAAATACACAAAAACACCTTTATGGTCTCTTATTTTTCTGGAAAATAATCATAGCCGTCTTTTTTGAATACATCGGCTTCATGTAAAAAATACAACTAGATTATCTATCGTGTCTGCGACTTTAGCAGCTTTCCGCTCATTATGAAATAAATTATTAACATTTTGCTTCCATTTTGACGTCAGCAAATACACTGAGCGCCTGAGCTACGCGTGGGGCGATAACTGGTTGCAGTCGACTACATGTACCTACTCGAAACCGTAGTTGTATATCGACTTTATGCATGCTGTCTTTCTGGTAGCAGCCTAACATAACAAATTTTTCCTAAAGTAACCTTCAAAAACGTATAACTAAAATAAAGAGTAGTAACTACTTAATATACTTCCAATTCGTTTAAGTGCATCCGGTCTGCACCAAACGCAAAGGGCAACTGATACAAATCCGACGACTGCCAAAACACGAGAATTACCAAGAGATAAATATCAAGAACATACAAGTACTGTATACATACATACATACAGATAATTTGCAACGTTATTCAATTGCTGTAGTTTCCTTATAACTGTCTCAAACATTTTTTTTGTTGAGGTTGAAGTAAACATGGTTCTTAGGAACATCCTTAGGTCCCACACCTGGTGTGTGACTGCAGTATTGCACAAAACACACGGAGGCAATGATCGATCGTGTCATTTGGCACGCACCATCGGTCAACAACGAGATTTGCGCACGAGTAGTGATTTGGCAGTATCGATAAAAGTATCGATGGTTTGTGAAATTAAGAATTTTCGTTTTCTGTACTCAAGAATTACAAAATAACGGTATCCTTCTCGAAATGATTTAGTTTTATCTTTTTCGGATGATTTTTTAAGGTACTCATATAAATTTTAAATGAAATCATTTGAAAAGTGCACTTTGAGTTTATCGACATAATAATAGACTTTTGTCTGATTTGCTGACTTTTGAGCACTTTAACAATGTTGACCAATATCTATGTATAAATATTTTCAGTTAGTATGACTATTTATGTAATTTTAATCGCAGATATAATTATTATTATTCAGCAACAAAGAGATCACATATCAGTCTAAGAATCCAAAAAGAAATTTATCTTATTCGTTTTTGGCAGTTGGTCGCATCGCTAGTCTATTCTCCCGATTTAAATTGAAAAGAAATTTGTTTTATCTATTTTTCTCCTAAGCAATCTTTGACTCTCTGTGATACTAATGACAACTAATTGATTCGGTCATCTAATTGATTGATTGAATTAGCACAGAATGACGTCATAGTGCAGTTAACTTTATTGTAATATAACAGTATTTTATAATTCTCAAGAACAGGAAGACTATCGTTATCACAGTGACAGTATTTTTGTAGTGTTTATTATCACGAGAAAGTGATAATAACTGTCATAATTACAAACGCCTCAAAAAGGAATAATCAGTAGTTGCTAGTAAATACCAAAGGCGCTAATGTTGTCTAGTGCAGAAAAGAGTTTGATTTCTAATTAGTGTGCTCTCAAGCAAGGTCAACACTACAAAAAGGAAAAAAAGAAAATTATTTGGTTAGATAATTAGTTCACGTAGTTCACATGTGACAAAATGGTAACAAAAATAAATTAAACTTATAATAAAACATTAAATAAAAACAATAACATTTAAAACATGACCAAAATGGTCTTCACTCGGCTTATTGCTACGAGACTTTGGTAAACGCTTCGTTACGCTGCTGGTCTTCAGTGAAGCC